GCGCCGGGCGCGGGGGAGCCGCCCCGCCGGCCGCTGTTTTTACCGTTGGCTACCCACTGGGTTCCGCCAGCGTGGCGTGTCCCCTACTCGTGTTACTGAAGCGACCTGCACGCAAAGCCAGGGCACAGGGAGCGAGGTGGGGGCCGGCTGCACCCAGCACTGACTGCGAGAGCCGGGCGCTCCCCCTGCGGCCCATCCCAGCGCTGCGACGGTTCCGACACCCCTGCAAATTCAAGGCCCGCAAGTGCAGCCAGCAATACTGCCCTGCCCCGGGAGACCCTCTTGCCGACGACAATCTTGTGGCTCACTCAGAGGAAGGAGGGCCACTCGTCCGGCCCCTGGTTGCCCGTCGCTGGCGTAAAGAGAGCTAACGAACCACCAAGGACTGTGACTGGCTGGCTGCAGAATTCTTCCCTTCCCACGCTGCCCTGCGGTGTCATGTTCCTGTGCGGGGTTCACAGCGACCCGGTGCCACTCCAGAACTGGCTGCATTTCTGGGAGGTGCCAACGCAATCACCATGTCCTGTGCACTGCAGTTTGCTGGGCTCTTTGGGACTACAAGCTGGCGCTGGCTAGCTCTGGGGGAATGTGAGAAGGGTCTGCATGTCCCTGCTGGGAGGGGAAGAGCTGTAGGGAGCGTGGGGGACCCGCTGCAGCAACTGGATGACATTTTTGAAAAGGGAAAAAACGAGGCAAGTGTTTGGAGAGGAGCGAGGCGAGTGAGACTCTGGGTAGTGGAATCGGATCCCCAGCGTTAGCATCCTGACACTTCAAACATTCAAAGCAGGCAGTGCAAAGCACTCCCCGATAATTACACTGCAAACGTTAACGCACCATAGGTTAGGGAGGCCGCTCACCTGGCCCCGGGGGAAGGGAATCTAGCGGAACTTGGCCTTTGCTGGCAGCGGGGATGCTATGAGCCTCTGCACTGCTGCACCGCACGATCACAGATCAGTGACGCCACCGCTAGATGCTCCCGGGATGCGGCTGACGCCAGCAGCTGGCTCACTCTGTTCCTCACCAGTGTCTTCGGCGCCGGAAGAACATGCCCACCCCGGTCCGAGAAGCAAGCTCAGCTGAGCCTCTCGACGAGCTGGGACGGGTTTGGGGAGGCTGCCATCCCGGGGGCCATGGAAGTTGAGCGGCTGTCCCGTCCCTCCACCCTGCTCACACCCACTGCCAGCTGCCCCAAGAGGTGCAAGGCTTTGCACACGGCGCTCTGCCCAAGCAAGACGCAGCCAGCGGCAGTGCGGGCTACAGGGCTAAGCTCTGCATTGGAGCTGCTGGATTCTAAGCCCAGCTGCGACACTCGCCCTCGTACACGTGTCTTTCCTGCTTCGTGCCTCAGTTTCCCCATCTTTGACATTGGGAACCATCGATCTCAAGGTCAGACGGGCCCACTGGGATCATCTTCTCTCATCTCCTGCATAATTTAGACCAGAGAATTGCCAGAGAAGTTCAATAACTGCCAACTCCCTTGGGGGCCATGAGCGCTAATTAGTTAACGCTCCCAAAGATCGTTCCGTTACTACAAATGCTTCAGGGTAACAGTGATGAATGACGTTTGGACAAAGCCTTGCAGCCCAAGACTCCCAAGTGCCCACTCACTAAAATGCAGCCACCTCTGGGGTGGGTGGCATCCACACCGCAGCATTACCCAACCGCCTCTCAAAAAGAGAGAATCGTGAGCTTTTCTGGGCAATACCCACTTCATCCAATGAGCCAAGATTATATTATATTGTGGTTGAGCATTGGCCTGCTAAACCCAGGGTTGTGAGTTCAATCTTTGAGGGGGGCCACTTAGGGCGCTGGGGCAAATCTGTCAGAGATGGTGCTTGGTCCTGCCATGAGGGCAGGGGACTGGACTATCACGTTACTGGATTTTAAAGATCATTGCTGCACCCATGAGGGGGGTGTTTGCCCTAAAAGTCCATACAAAGGGGGCCGTGTGAGGTGTCACATGAAAGCGTCTGTTCTACTGAGTCTGTAGACGCTGCTCGTGTACGTGTATAATATCTGTATGTGGCGTTATACATATGCACTCTGAGTTGATGCAGGAAAATTCTCTGTCTGAGACAGAGCAAAAGGCACAGAATGGCTATGCTAATTAGCAAGGAGACGATGATTCTCTAGGTGCCCATACACACCTGAGGAATGTGACTGATACCTGCAAACCAGCCAGTATCTGATGGCTGCTGACATGGGACACAGGGATAGGTCACTGGGCCATGTGCCCTGCTCTGGCCAGGAGGATGCCAGGGGAGGTCTATAAGTGCCATGTGGCACCCTCCATCTGGTCTTCAGTTCAGCTCCTGATCCCAGATGCAGCCTTGCGAGGAACAATAAGCCGGAAAGAACCGTGGACCCATCCCGACATGGGATGTGCACCAGAGACTTACAAGATAGCAGTTTGTAACATCTCTGCTGAGAGCCTGCATTGAGAACTGGGAGGTTCGATGCATGTCATGTATTCTCCTTAACAACCTTACGCTCAGGCTTTTCTTTCCTTTAGTAATAAACCGTTCGATTTTAGATTCTAAAGGATTGGCTCAGCGTGATTTGTGGGTAAGATCCAGAGGGTAAATTGACGAGACCTGTGGCTGGTTTCTTGGGACCAGAAGAACCTGTTCAGGGTAGGTGAGATTGGGTTCTATAACCCCTCATCTGTGTGTTAGGGTGCCTGAGGGGTTTTGCTCGTGAGGCTTCTGGCTGGCAGCTGAAGCGCTCGGCGTGACTGATTTGTGGCCTGTTTGGGAAGGTCTCCAGTCTGGGGCTGTAAGGAGCCCCGAGTTTGAGCAATTCGCCCTGAGTGGACGCCCCCCACAGACTCAATGATCTTTCAAGGCCCCTTCCAGTTCTAGTGTTCTATGACATTACACACACACTCAGCAGAAGCGGTAAGTTGCAGCACTTGCTGATAGAGCCCTGCACATCCATGGATATCTGCTTTATATCCACAGGCATCCACATCGCAGATTAGGGATGTAAGCGACTAAGTGACTATCCAACAAGCAAAAGCTTATCAGATAGTCAACACATTAAGACTAGTCGCTTCCCCACCCCCCTTGCTGCCTCTATCACAAAGAGAAAGTGGGAGTGGGGGGGAGGATGGGATGCCAGGGGGAGCCAGCTTAACAACCGGCTCCCCCCAGCTGCATGGGACGGGGTCGGGGCGCGGCAGCGACGCTTCCTCTTTGAAAGGTACAAAAGTCCCAGAAAGGGCTCTTGTACATTTCAAAGATTGAAACGCCGTGCGGAGCCCAGCTGGGAAGCTTGGGTCAGTGGGGGACTCAGAGTCTCCCGCTGGCCCCCCCTGGCTCCATGCGGCACTTCCATTTTGAAATGCACAAGAGCCCCCACCGCGGCTCTTGTACATTTCAAAGCGCAAGCGACCGCACGGAGCTCGGGCTCAGCAGAGGATTCCCCGCTGGCTCCGGGCTCCACACGGCGTTTCAGTCTTTGAAGTGCACAGAGCCCCTGCTGGGACTCTTGTCCATCTCAAAGGCGGAATGTGCGCTAGTCCTTATCGACTAATCGAGCAGTCAACGGAAATCCCATCGACTCTTCGATTAGCTGATGAATCGATATTTAACGTCCCTACCGCAGATGTGGCGGCAGATCTCCACAGCTCAGTTCTGCAGGAGTGGATACAAATGTTATGTCTGTGCAGGGCTCTACTGACTGCATGATCCACACGCTTGGGTTTCAGAGGGGCAGCCGGCGTAGTCTCTCTCCGCAAAAACAAGAAGGAATCCAGGGGCACTCGAAAGAGCACCACATTTATTTGGGCTTAAACGTCCATCGGCTGGAACCCACTTCGTCAGAGGCATGAAGCGGAAACTTCGTGTTGGCAGGTCTGTATACTCCTGTGCTCCCACCCAGACTCGGCTCACTAGCAGAGAGCTCAGTGTGCTGCGCTGGTGACTAGCCCAAGGCAGGGGGAGAGAGAAACACCCCAGACCCGTCCCTGCTGAAGCTGTTGGCGGGGAGGGAGTAGAGCTGGCTCCCTCCCCGCTTGCGGCGACGCACGTCTGGGATCTCGCCCGGGAAATTTATGGGCTGACGAGAGCGACAGCGACGGATGGAACCGTTCCAGCTCAGTGGCCAGGCTGCCCTCTGCCCAGCCCGGCAGCTGCCCACATAACTCACAGGCTCTGGCAGGGGTGCAGCGGGGCTGCACCGGGCGGGAGCACGTCTGGGGGGGCCGGGCCGTTACTCCG